GCTGTTTGAAAGTAAGAAAATTAAATTATGGAAGAGGGCTGGAAAACATTTTTCTTGATTATCTTCTCCAAGTGAATCTATATAGGGTTTCCTTTAGGGCCTGGAAGGTAATCATAACAAAAAGAACATGATTATTGTTGTTCTAACTGACGAGGAATCCAAAAATAAAATTCCACATTTTTTCCCTCCACTCCCTGCCCCAAAAGATGTTCACTAGATTCTTGCAGACTCCATCCCAGAGACCAGTAAGATGATCAAGTAACTTTGTCTTGATCTTTGCAAATGGAGGATCTGGCTCTGAGTAGAATGATAACTGTACAATTCTGGTGAAGCCTTTGTAATGACCTGTCCTTGGGCAAATACAAGATAAAATTATGCAAATCCAATTTTTTGAAGCTGAACCATGTATGCCACAGACCAGTTCCACTCTGTACCTTCTTGGCATGAATATTTAACATGGGCTGGGATGGAGAAGACAGTCACACCTAGCCTTAGTCTCTAGCAGCTATGAGGAGGAGGTGGGGGAAGGGACACTTTTATTTTCTTTTAGTAAAAGAATTAGCACAGGTTGTCTCGATCTACTTCCATCCCCTCACCACCTCTGAAACACTCTTCTTCCCCTCTATACTTTTCATCATGATGACATTTCAAATTATTTGGTGGGATTTTAGGAAAATTATTGCTGAGATCATCAGAGCCATGTTGGCCGCAGAAGAGAATGAGCTGATCATGCTGTCATAGAAAACGGTGGGTCTTGCCCACAAGAAAACGGGACCGTTGCACAAAGTATTAGTTACGAGAACTCTGTCTGCACTGTCAAGGGTTTGCCTAAGAGTGCCAGAGATTCCCACTGAAAGCCTGTCCAAGGTGTGTATCTGATGCAGCAGCCAAGCCAAGTCCTTGGGCAGTTTAACCAGTCTGTGAGCAATGAGCCAAATATTGAAAGAGACTTCCCTCAGTCTCTGATGGAAACTTGTCAGGCAAATCTTGTACCTGACAGTTCAAAAGATAATGTGTCATTGCTGAAAACGTCTGCTTCTTTTTTGATTTAATGGGAAGAATTCAAAAATTGGTGCCTTGATTTATCTAAGAGACAAACTGGATGTTGCGAAAATTGACAGGTGTTTCAAGAAGGATAGTCCAACCTCCTAATATGGAGCCTGTCAAGTCAAAAATAAGGACACTGTTATTTTAACAATGATTTCAGAAATACAAAAATCACAGGTTTTCAGATCTAGAGAGAGTGAAATAAAAAAATTAAAATGGTATTTGCAACAAGATAAAACTAAGTGAAAGAATAAAGGTCTTTTCATTGCAGACTCAGGAGCAAGAGAATGCCGGAATCTTACAGGCCTCTATATTCCCTGGAAATGAGCTGTGAATGACCAAAGAAAGACTAGAGAAGCTCTGTTTTAATTCATAGGTTAGGAGGACAGAAGGATAAACCATCACCTGAGGATTTAATATATTGATATTTAGAATGACAGGTGTAAGTTTTCTTAAAACCATGGATGTTTTTTTCTAATGAGATGGCCTTATTTCTCCTCCAAGGAAAATCAGGTTATTGCCACATGCCACAGTAAAGGAATGGTGGCTCTCTCCGGCTGTCCTCATTATCCTCTACCCTGATGAAAGATCCATTGGAGATGTTTTGTGCTATTTGCTTGTGAGAGATCCACAGAGATTCAGAGACGCTGTGAAGTCATACAGAGAGTGCAGGCACTGCAGCTTAGCGAGTCCTGAACCAATTCTCTCTGACCCCCATTATTCCACCTTGAGCCCCATCATCCCAGGACAACCTCAGCTATATGTGCTTCTATAAATGTCGGTGTCTGCACTCGTCTTTAAGGTCTTCTCTGTGCTGCAAGGATTGAGGAAATTTTGGCTTTGCCGGGAGGTGATTTCCCCCAAATATTGGAACTCATATTTCATGTGGTATTAAGTCACCAGGGCAGCCCGTCGGAACTTGCCTGATCTGGATGAGACTGGCAGACAGCGTTTATGGCTGTACACAGTATCTTAAAGGACAAATATGTTGAAGTGTCTCTGTGTACAGTGGAAGACATGGACTTAGGTTAATGACTGAGCCCTACCACATGAAATTTACCACGTTTATCTCCTTCCTCCTCCGTATTTCTGCCATTGTCACAGTTTTTCCCACTGAGTCTGTCATTTCACTCCTTGTGCTTTCAGGTTTAAACCCTGCAGCTCTCCAGACACACTTTTCATTTGGTTTGAGCTCTTCCTGAGCCACTGGCATGCTAGCCCCAGGTTTGAAAGACTCGTGAAGGTCATGAAACTTTTAACGCAGAACTCCTGGCAACTTTGGAGGAAGTTCCACATTCGGGCTGCAGAGTTGTCAACAACTTGATTTCCAAAGAAGCCAGTGTCCTATACTTTGTAGGAGTGAAGCCAAATAGTCTGGCTTTTATTGTCTTTGCAAGTTGTATGCAACACGACTAGCTCTCCCACTGTAAAGGGCTACTTAATGTGTGACTTTGAAAGGGAATATGTCCATTTCTTTCAACCAGATGTTTAAATTCTGGCCTCAAAATTTCTCTAAATGGGAAAATTGTGTTCTTTAAAAAATATACTCCACATAGACCACTATCTCCAACATCAATAATGATGTGGTAGCTTTAATTTATTTTTATTTTTATTTCTTGTATTCTCCCTTCTCTTGGTCTCTTTAAGTTTTGTTCACTCCTGGCCTTATAAAAGAAATGATTTACTTAAAAATATAATCTTGGGTTACTTAAATTTAGGCATTCCATAGTGAATGTCACTTACTTCTAGAATAACATGATACTTTTCTCCTCTTTAAATAGATGAAATGTATTGTTCTTAAGAATATGAAAATAGATGGGGAGGTGAAGAAATTTTAAAATAGGAGTGTTATTCAATATTTTCAATTAACAACAGCAGTTATTTGTAATATCAGCTGATAACTTGATTAAGATCATCCTTCAGTTTGTTGAAGGTGAATTATTGGAAACATCTAGGCTTATGAAAGAATTATTATCTAGTTATGAGAGTTATTTTTCTGCACCACACTTATTCCAATAGTTCTAATTAAAAAGAAAACATTTCTTTTAATTTCTTTTAAAAGAAATGTTTTCTTTTTAATTAGTGTTCCTGAGGTTTTTATAATTTGTGACATTTATCATAATAAGATTTCTGTTGGATAATAGGTGTGCTTTCTTTTAAGTGAGAGAACAGTTATAACTAGGAAGAAGGGAAGGAGAAATTTTAAAAAACAGATTTTTTTTTTTTTTTTAAATTGAAGCTCTGGAAAGTGATATCATTTGAAGTATCACAGAAGGAGCACTGTGGAAAGTGAATTAGGAGTTTGCAAATCCTAATTTGCAGAGCACTGAACTAGAGTTCTAAATGCAAAACAAAAAAATGAAAGAGCTACAAGAATTAGTGTTTTCTGGTTGAAACTATAACTCGAATGTCATATTTCAGATGTAATATTTTATGTTGTGCTTTTATGACTTATGTTTTGGACTTCGATCAGAAAAGTATTATAGTTTTCGTAGTTGCAAATGTTCCTTGGAAAAATTCTTACCATTGAGTTCTGGAAAACAATTAGTAACAAATGAAGCCTTGTGTTTATTAAGATAGCAGTAAAACCTTAGTCAGTTTCTTTAAAATCCTTACTGTCCAATATTCATAATTTTCAAAGGCATAGGACTATGGTTATACTGCTGAACTGAAAAGAAAATTAAACACTGATGTTTTATTTGAGCAGTTGC